TTGAGCAGGTCCGAAGATGTTGACGCGATACGGACGTCGTCTGTGGCTTCTTTGGAGGCGTCATATGGTAGTTGGGGGTGATGGCCCCCTCCTGGTCAACTGGATGAGATGGAGGTCTAACAGAGTCTTGTAGTCTTCCGTCTGTAGCGGAAGCAGAACACTGAAGTATAGCCATTTCGCGACGGACTTTGGCCATCTCCATTTCCAGCCATGAAGCTCTGTCTTTCAGATCTATAGGGAGCTATCGCTTGGGCGACGGGATGAAGGAATCGAGTGGAGGAAGGTCAGCGAAATGTTCGTCAGACATGGCAAAACGTCAGTTGAGTTTGCGTTGTTGATTAACTGAGGAAATTGTTGATTAACTTTGTAAAATCCGGACGGTTAAGGATCTCACAGGACGATTGCGACTATTAGATTATACGCAGTTCGTAGCCAGTAGTCAATAGGAGCCGACAGACGTGGGGCAGCAGATGATATACTGAAGACTGACAGGAACTAGTTCTACAGACAAACGGATTAGTAAGCATCATGAATTAAGAAAACGTACAATCGACAATGACGCAATCAGCAGGAGCGGGAAGTAGCCACTGACGCAGCACGGATTTCTGTAGGGGCAGCAACAAGTAAGTAGCAAACGATGTACAAACATACATATAGGGGCAGGCTGACAGTGTGAGTTGACCGTGACGGCGCAGGAGTCAGTACGTTCGGAATGTGAGGGACTGTCTTTCGGTCGGCGTCGACGCAGCCGCTCGTGTCGCGCGGCAGGTCAGATTGCGCGGTTTCGTCCGTTTAAAACAAAGCTCAGCAGGGGCTATCTGGCAGGCGTGATACATGGGTAATACAAAATAATCAGCCAAGTTAGGTGTCCGGTTAGTGTCGTCGGTGACGCGTTCGCCTGCTGTCCGCAGACTCTGGGTTCGATACCCGGTCGGTGCGCTCTTCGGTCGGAGTGGACGCTCGTGAATAGGTGCAATCCAGACGAACTTGCAAGCAATGACGGACGGGCAAATTAAGTATTGACATCAGTTGCTGAGGAATAAGCAGACCTTAAGCCATGACGAAACAGGGGGAAAACGAGCAAAGAAACGAAACGGTGTCTTAATAAACAGATGCGAGTCCCGTTACTGATGAGTAGTCAGAAAACAAGGAAAATTACCGCTGGTCACCGTTGATTCGCAGGCGGAATCAACACCTATTTTCAGTATTCAGAGGCCACTCGTCCCCATGAGGTATTTTGATCGATCGAACATGCAGTGTCTAGGTCAATTTCCAATCCATCAGCGGTGGATCGCCGAATATAGCCTACCTGATGGAGGAGTACCTGGTTCGAAAGCCAGATCCATCACCAATAGAGCATTTGCGCAAGGAGCTTGATCGATTGTTTGGCAAACTGAAGCTGCTGGAACCGCGTAAGGCTGCTGGGTGCATGAAGCGTCTGATTGTCCAAAGCCAGCTGATGTTGCGTCAAAATGCAATTAGTGCACAGGACAACCAGCCTCTGGTGTTAGATGGCAACCGCAACCAACCACGGTGACGTTCGACATCAGACGACGCTGTTCATTGTGGTCTCTGTGGCCAGCCAACTTACCCTGCTGATTGGTGGTGTCAACCCGATCGACTTTCATATCACCGCTATTGCTGCGGCAATGAGCCCTGCCCTCTGTGTGGAGAAAATCTTCTGTCGCGTCCACCAAGTGAGTGCACTTGTACAAATTAAACTATTCCCATTAGTTGCGTACAAATTAATTCCCATTAGTTGCCGGTCAGTCTACCTACCGTTCAGCTGAATGAGCTTGCTTTGATTTTGATCTTGATCGGTCCATGGATGGAGGGCCGAGTG